AGATCTGACTTCTGTTTCAAAGATTCACTCTGGCTGCTCTGTCAAAAACAGGCTCTAGGGTACAATGACCAGAATCCAGGAAGTAAATTCTGAGACTGACATAACAGCCCAGGAGAGAGGTGGCAGCTGGGACCAGGCGAACGCGATGGAGCAGACAGGAGTGAGTTCAGGCCACTTTGAAGGGAGAGTCAAGAGCATTTGCTGATGGATGGAACAGAGGGGGCCGAAGGCTTCTGTCCTTCAGAAGGACTGAAGACTGGTCCTTGGGTGGCATCTGGGAATGTGGCTGATAGTTTTATCCCTAAAAGGACATAGAATTTTTTCCTAAACACAAGAATGACTCACTGTGCCTAAGCTGCTTCTGCAAACAATAGACATTATACTAAACACTGGGTTTCCTTCTGGGAGCTGTGAACTCAGGAAATGTGCCAGGCAAAGTGTGCCTACGTGACCAGACCCTCGTAAGAACCACCCCCTGTCCCCCATAGGACTCCAGGAGGATGAACTGGCTTTCTGGACTTCACTCCACGCACCTGCACCCTTCAGGGATTTACTGTGTATCCGATGACGTAGTAAAGTATAACTGTGAGGAAGTGACCTGTGGATCCTGAGAGTCCTGGTGGGTCATCAATGTGGGACAGGCATGGAGAGCTCCTAGCAGGATGGACAGGAGGACTTCCAGGAAGGTGCCAGGGGTGTTGACCTCAAGCCTCAGTTGTCTTAATCTATAGTTCCCGGCACTCCACTGCAGATCTCAAAATAGCTGATTTGGAATTTCAAACCCTCTAAAATCTTCAACACTTTTTAAACAGAAATATTCAAGAACTTTATCTTCTTTCAGGGATAAAAATGGATCACGGATTTCAGTGGCACCCCAAGGCTGGCACTTCCTTCCATCCTGAGGCCCAGTGATGAATGATGTTGGTGGCAAAACCTTTGCTTCCTGTATTTTTTCTAGTCTTCTAAGGAAAAACTACTTGGTTTGTGTTAACTGGGGAACGAGGTACTACTTTTGATTTGTAGACCTGTTTGATGGATATGGGAGTTTCTCAGTGAAACCTGAATGATTTAGCAGAGGTAAATTGCGATTTAGAAGAACAGCAGAGAGCACAGAGTAGCAGGATGTAGTGAGTCTCCTCGATGCTGGACCCGGATGGAGCACAGTATCAATACCAACACTCTCTCTCCTCTCCTTTGGTTTTATTTTTAAACTTACTAAGTTCCCTTGTACCTCTCAGTGGTATCTTAGTAGGCAGTGTTTTGGAAAACTGAGGCCACAGAGACCCTGTTGACCAAAAAAGCTGAATTGGGCCTTAATAACTTCATTGTTTGAAGACAGAAACAAACCTTGAGAGAAACTTTCTAGCAGCTCTTTACAAAAGACAAAAATAAAAAAGCTCTTACTGCAATGGGGGCATTTCACCTTAGCAGACAGTGATGAGTCAGGTTAATCACCTGATGGCTGAGGCTGCAGAACAGGTAGACATGACCGTGTTGAGGAAAGGTTCTGTCCACACTTAGATTCCTGAAACAGAGTTCCTGGAGGCCAATTCCTTGTGCTATGAAAGCTGATAATGACCCAGCTGTGCCCATGTGAGAATCCAGTGAGATCATGAAATGCACAGAGGGGTTGCCTCTATTTCCTTATTATTCATGAGGAGTAAATTAATACTACTATAGAGAATGGCTTTGGCAATCTTTTAGGTCTCTAAATAATGAAGCTGGTTCCTAGGGGGAACTTAGTATTTATTATTTTTAAAAAACAGGTGTTCTCATCTCTGAGGGTTTTCTTTTTTAACCCATTTTATCAACTATTTTTCTTTCAATTAAGTGTATACTTTAAAGATTATTTGCATTTTCTGAGTAAGATGAGTCAGAACTCCCTGAAAAATGCAGTGTCCAAAAGGTATTTGGAATGTTCTCTCCAAAAATCCTAACTCTGAGCTTGTTTTTGCCCTATTTCTTTTTGTGTTCAGGTAGAAGGGGAAGGGTGCCCACCAATTTGATCTGACTTCACGTTAACACGGATACACATCATAAGCCCAGCCCCCATGTCAGAAAATGCAACATAATGAGATTCATTCCATCAAAACATCAGTCTTATCTAAAGTGTAAAAATAATAAAAAGAGTTGCTTGGAAACACTGCTCGTTCCTAGCTATTAAATGTGCTTAGCTTTGCCTTCTGTCTCATAAGAGCTGAACACTATGGCAATTTTCCATAACAACATGCATCTCAGATGATTCATTGCTGAATTCAAACGTATATATTCTTTCCACCATAATGAAGGAATAAGAAGTCTGTCTCCCTGTCCAGAAATACTGATGAGAAGTGATAAAAGAGAAAAAAATAAATAAAATTATATATGTGTGTACATATGTGTGTCTGTGGACTCTATTTTGGGACCCTACAGAGGAATACCACTTGCTAGAACTTGTAAAAAAGAGAATTTCTCTTTTGTTTATTCATAAATGAAGCAACTACAAACATAGTTTGATACAATTTCATGCAGTTTCTCTGAATTTAATTACCTTCTTATAAATACAGGAACCTAGTAGAGAACAGTAGCATCTGATTTCTGAAATTATTGAGCATAGATGCAATGCAGTGGAACTGGCTTGAAAGTGTCCCCTAAGAGTTTACATCCACCTGGAACCTGTGAATGTGACTATGTTAGGAGACAGGGTCACAGGATGAGCATGGGCTAAAGGACTGCTGTCCTGATAAGGGAAGGGAAATCTGGACAGGAACACAGAGAAGAGGCGGCCAGGTGACGATGGAGGCAGCACACAGAGTGAAGCTATACCAGCAAAAGAATGCCAAGGGTTTGGCAGCCACCAGAAGCCAGGGCAGATTCCCGGGACTGTCTCAGGGGGCGTGCAGGTTGAGTCCCATCCAGCTGACACCTGGATCCCAACTGCAGCCTCCAGAGTACGGGAGAGTGAACTCCTGTTTTTCACATCACCCAGTCCACCGTCATTTGTTACAACAGCCTTAGGAAACTAAATGGTCATTCCCATGGCCTCCAAATTGAATATATAAACTTTCACTGCCCACTTCTCTTCCATAAAATCAGAATAAGAGAAATCATTTATAAAAGTATCTCACAAACTTTAAGAACACAAAATATCCAATGCAACCAAGTTTCATTTACATGCCTACAGCATACACCATACACCCTGCCATGGGCTAGGCCCAAAAGTAATACTCAATATCTACTCTTTTGACAATGCTTAATTATGAACAAATATTGAATGAGATGATAATTTTCATGTACTCTATCAAAATAATTGTGTGAATTCTCATAGGTGAGAGAAGAAGGTAACTGTATTTTTTAAAATATGAACAAACTATTAAATCCCAGAATCAGGTCAACAGCACATAACACTTTTTGCAAAGAATAGCTGCTTCATAAATATTCAATAAATTAGTTAATTGTTAATTAGAGATATATCAAGATTATTAATGCTTGTGCCTTTGCAGTCTTAGTATTCACACTTTTAAATAACTGCATACCCAATTAATCTATAACATTAAATCAGAATTTTTTAGCTCAATGTATTAAGTCCATATGTCCATGTGTTCATTTACTTGATGAATCTTTATAAAGTACCATCAATGGCAAGGAATTATGTTTTAAACATTGGACAAAACAGATATGGTCCTTGTCTTACTGGCACTTCAACGGGAAAGCAAGATGGGTATTACACAAGGAATCACAGGAACAACTGACCACATTACAACAGAACAGGAGGCCAAGAGGAGGTTCACACTCATCAGGGTCCAGAGGCCCTGGAAAGGATTTCTTTCTTTTATTTGTTTTGTCTACTGGCACCTTACAATCGTACAATAGTGGGCTTCACTGTCACATATTCCTACATGCATGTAACACAATTTGCCAATTTCAATTCTTTAAAAAACTTGTATTTGAGATAGAAGGCTGAGTAAGAAGAATTTAACATTTGAAGAACATTAAAAACAAACAAACAAAAAAAACAGTATGCCAGAGTGGAGGCAGCCTGGTACACTGACCAGAAGAGACACTCCATGACCCAAGACTACAGAGGAAGCACCATGAAACCACACCAGGCTTGGTAGGTCTGAGAGAGGTGTAGAAACTCCAGTTTGCTGTGTTTTAAATATGGCAGTGTCAGGTTAGGGTATCAAGAAAAAAAAAGAAAAGAAAAATCCCATTTTATCTCTTTCTATACTCCAACCCAAACTATAACATATTAAAAAAAAAAATACACAAGCCAACTCAGCAACAACAAAGGTATGTAGAGCCAAACAGCTGATGACCAAGAAGGGACTAATTTAACATATTCAGCAAAACCAAATCGAGGCCTTCAGCAGAAAAGCCGAGAGCTGGCCCAATTAACACTGCAGAATCCTCAAAGGCTCAGGAGCCAGTTTCGCCAGCTAACAGAAGCTCATAAAATAAGAACAGAGAAACTGTGTGGGAACAGTCAGACCCCAGAGAGTCTCCCTGAGCCCACTCTAAAAGACCAACACCCTGTCCTTGTCCTCTCCTAGGAGGACAGAAACATGTAAATTTTAAGCATAGTTTTTAAAAAGGGTTAAGAACTTGGTGATCCATTGCAGTTAGGATGTTCCAGGCCCTTCGTCTCTGCCCGTGCCTTCAAGAAAATTGTACCATCTGGAGAAACATCATTGTCAATGGTTTTTCCGAATCAAATGCTAAAATTAATCTTGCTGTATTTTCCTTCTGTTTCTTTGGTAAGGGGCAAGAAGATGAAAATGAGATGTACATTATAGAGAAAAACAGTGACTTAAACAATTTTACCAGCACCTTATAATACAGGTATTCAAGAAGATTGTTCTAAAAATAGCAAAAGGAAACACACAATTTTAAAAATATTAAACGCAAACTGGTTGAGAAAGTAGCACTTTTAACAGTGGGAAAGGGTTTGAGCGTACAGCACTCCTTCAACAGTTTGCACTTGAAAGGAGGAGCTCAGCTGCTGAGAACCCACAGCTTACCTTGAATACTTCCATTGGAAGAGGAAACTCTGCAGCAACAATAAGGGATTTTTCCAGAGCACATTTCCACTCAGAGGTCATCTTCAAAGGATAGATTTCTGTATCAACAGCAAACCACAGAAGAGTTTAAGGACTGGAATGTTCTGCCCGGTGGCTCTTTCCTGAGTTTATCAGGCCCCAGCACCCTCAGTCTGCCACAAACCGCCACCTGCTAAAGGGATTTTCCAAAATTAAATAGCAACTCAGGATTCTGCTATCAGAGATGAAGAACAAACTCAATAGGGCTCTTCCTCGGGGAACATTTGTACAAATTTTGTGCGAATTTTGTGCACATTCTGTAAGTAATTTAATAGCATTAATCACATTAGCCAAACCTTTAGTCATTCATGGCCCCCAAATTCCATATATCGCCAAAGATGTACTAACCACAGATGAGGAACTTATTATCTGATAAATTTCTAAACTCTTGTCAGGCTTTTGCAGTTATTACAACATATTTTTCACTAAATCTCTAGGCTCTCATATGCTAAAAATAGTCCCTATAAGTCAGAAAATTATTAAAAGGTAAATTAAAATTTACCAACCAAGTTTCATATTTACACTTGAAATGTTGCTAACACACCACATGTTACCCATATTTTCTCCCCAGGCAGTGGGGGAGAGAAAGATTTACACACAGAGGTTACACAGTCTGAATGCAAAATTAAAAGGAAAAAATTGTTGAGCACTGTTTTTACCTATTGCTGAAACTGCAGAGGGATTTTTATGGCCTGATCTCAACAGATTTAAGACCTTATCAAAACAGGATTTGTAGGCACACTCACTGGAAGTAGATATGTTTATACCTTCACTATATCAACTCAGCTACTCCAGACAGACAGTTAGGATACGAATATGAATTTAAGCACAGTTAAAAGGCAACATTAAACCTTTGGGCTATATTTTTAATTTCTTGCATGTCTGCTTTTTAGCAATGGAGCCATATATTTGAACCCTCGGTGCCTCTGGACTCACCTTGAGCTCTAAACTTCTCTGTTTGAGCAGTTTATTTAGTCTTTTCAGGACATAATTACAGAACTCGACAAGTTATCAATGCCCTGTCCCCTGCCATTGTTCATTACACAGAGACACACAAAGGGTGCTGCTCTAGGACAAAAAATCCTCTACTTGTGTGCACTGTCCATAATCCGTTCTAGCACTTCCTAAAGACTTCCACCTCTGGCAGAAAGAAAAAAAAAAATTCCCAATTCGGCATTTCTGTGTCAGAACAAAAAACAGATGTGACTCCTCTTAATAGTATCTAACATAGTTAAAGACAAATAGTGGAGCCTCAGCAAATACGTGAGTGTAGAGACCAAAAGAACCATCCCCCCACTGGTGAGAGGGACACTGGGGGAGATACCTGTGGCTTCTCACAGAGTCCCACAGAGTATGCCAAGGGACCAGTCCACAGAGCTCTGTGAATTGCTCCCTGAGCTTGAGGAGGAGAGCCTCAAACCAGGGGCACAGCATCAAAACCTTGGTACGGGGGGAGGCAACGCAGAGGACTAGAGGAAGCAAAGGCCAGAGGACACCACTCAGCCATTCCAAGAGGGTCAGGAGAGAAAGAGCACACAAGACACCAGCACCCCTTCCTTGGGCAAATTCACTTTTCCTGCCATCTGCAAGTAGGGTGATAGGGAATTCAGTCCACACGTGGTAGAAAAAAGGACCAGTTTTGAAAAACAAGGGGAATTTCCAAAGTCAAGAGCAAAGAAAGTCTGAGAACACAGAGGATGAATAAAAGGAGAAGTTCGGTCTACCACATTGGCACCCTTCACTCTCTTGCTCTGTAATCCTGTCCAGTTATGCCCTTGACTGTGAAATCTGAGTGGGGAAGGGTGCCCTGGAGACAAGAGAAGGCAGAAGAGTGGTTTAAAAAAAAAAAAAGACACAAGGCCAATATAAAGGGAAACCCATGCTACCCGAACTTAGTGCCCAGATGCGGCAGACACCACCAGCACTGTCACGCCCCTCTAAAGCCAGTCTTGCAGACTGGCACTGGAGGTCTGGCTGGCCAAGTCATCCACTCAAAGCTGACTTCTCCACCATGGGATGCCACCACTGTCCCTCCACAGAAGAGACACATGGAACAAGCAGCCCCAAGCAGTTCCCAAGATCTGTGCCTCTGTCCTACCAGCTCATGATTCTCCACCTTCTAAGGGTATGAAGTCCTGAAATGGAATCTAACTCTACAACCAGGCATCCTTCCTCTCTCAAAGGTGACCCTCAGCTGCAGTTCTGCCCGTCTGCACAACACCTGCAGAGTCAGACACCTCAGAGAAGCAGGAAGCAGAGAACTACGGTCCCTGTGCGCGCTTCACAAGATAGAGCCACTCTGGTTACGCCAGCAAGTTTATGGACAATAAATAACACCATTAAAAGAACATAAAACATTTTCTTAAAATGATCATGCTGCAGGTAATTTAATGGAGTGCAGCATCCCAGTTCTGTTTGTGGGGAAGTCGTAAGCAATTAAAATGTGTCCGCACTCATCTGTAACTAAAAGCCTACAGGAAAACGGGGTGGTCTCCTTTGGTGCCAGTGTTTGACAAGTTTTTTCCTAGTAAGCACTGCAGGAAGCAGGAATGCACAACATAACCATGAATAAATAAATAACCACAAATAAACTGAGGCCTTGAGGTGGGGGCCCATCTTGTTCCTTTCTCCTCTACCAGGTGCTGCCAGAGAGGAATAACCACTATTCGGTTGGTAAGAGAAAGTGCCCATTGGGAAATATTATAAACTGAGTATCTGTCCCCCCAAAACTTTATACGTAGAAACCCTAATCACCAATGTGACAGTATTTGGAGAATGAGCCCTTGGAAGGTGCTTAGGGTTTGGGGAGGTCATGTGGAAAGGGCCCCCAAGATGCAGTGTCCTAATAAAAAGGGACAGCAGAGCTCACTCTCAATCTACTATGTGAGGACCCAGCCAGCACCTGGCCATCTGCAAGCCTGGAAGAGAGCTCTCACCAGCCTGACCCCACCAGCACCTGATCTTAGATTTACAGCCTCCAGAACTATGAGAAAAGAAATGTCTGCTGTTTAAGGTGCACAGCCTGTGATATTTTGTTACGGCAGCCGCAACAGACCCATACTGAAAGCAACAACTCATTGTGGACTAAGAAACAACTTAGGCAAAAACATTTAAGTTATACTCAGAAACATCCTGACTCTGGGAACTATTAAAAGCAAAAATTTTAAAAAATTTTTAAAGAAAGTTTAGAGAAGGCCTTGGAAAAAAATTAATACAGAGAAAATTTCTAGCTTTTGTAAGAACATCAAAAACTCTTATCTTGCTTTCTAAACATTCAGAAAGAGAAAGGAGGTGGGAGCCACCTAACGGACCCCCGAACTCAATGAACTACCAAAACTTTCTGGAAAACCAAAGCATAAGCCTCTGATCACAACAGGTATCTCAGAAAATGCCACTCAATGCCTTATACAATTCAGCAGCCCAGCAAATGAATAACCATCCCCTGTCCCAAGCACTAGAATGCTACTTCCCCTGACTCAGGCCAGATAAGAAAAGGCTCAATGATATATATCCTCAGAGGTGGACACAGTGTATAAAATCCAGTACTTGTTCCTACAGAGTCTAAGAGTAACTTCCCATTATCTGTTTCTACCACCTAATATTGTGCCCTTTAAAAAGTAAAACTAGCGGGGGAGTCAGGATTATTTTTAACAACAGCAGTGGCATTGAGGGGGAATGAGGGTCCCTTAGAGCAGAATTCAGCCAGCACGGCCTGCCCTCCAAGTAGGGCCAAGAGCCACCCACCTGCCCCTGCCACCACCCTTCCAACTCTGATCCTAACTGCCAGTTGATGCTGGAAGCTTAACAGTGTTTGGGAGTAACAAAATTATTCTAATATTTCCTATGCAAATCTTCAAATTTTAATCCTACCTATATTAAGGAAGTAGTGCTACACGTGAGTTTTACAAGTCCCATTGGGACCTGAAATTAATTGACGTAAATCCAAAGCATCAGGTTCTGTTCCCATGTGTAAAACCTAGGTAATAATTGTCTCTCTTCCCAGGGGTGTCATTTTGCTGAATGAAGCAACAGAATCTAGTTTTCATCTTGTAACTACCGTATGTGAGGAACTTAAAGTCCTATTTGGAATGTCTTTTCACCTCTTATTTTCTTTCCCCCATAGGTAAGCTTTCTTGTTGACAATGTACGTATTGAGGAAACCTGCTTCTGATGACGACTATCTTTTTTAGACTTTAGGGACCCTAGTGATCCGGCATGATATGAAATGGACAAACTGGTGTCCAGAAAATTCTAAGACAAATAAGCAAAATTTAGTTTCATATCCTAAAGATATGAAATTACCTAAAGAGGGAGAGCTCAGGAGCAAGTATGTCCTAATTTTCTACAAGGACACTTTCCATTCTAGTTTGAGTTCCAGGATTTCACAGGGAAAAAGCATGACAGAACACCAGAAGCTACCAGAAATTCTTTGCTTTGCTGTACATTTTTACACAGCCAGGCCATCTTTCCTCTATAATTTATAAAGCAATTATGTCCTGAGCTGGGGTTTACACACACGCCTTTCCCCACAAAGGAGATTTTCCTCCCAGCCTGTGAATCCCAAGGCAACCTGAGCTCAGATCTTTGTGGACAGGCCCTTCATCATCATCCAAAATTACCCAGGATATAAAACTAGTTTTTGGCTGCTTCTCAAAACACTGAGGACAATACAAATATAATAAGATACAGAGTGAATGTCTACACACCTGTCAGATTTAACACAGAGGCAAACACAAGGGGTCCAGAACCAGGAATCTTTTGGTTAAAAAGCCCTTGAGTGACAGAAGAGGTAAAACACAACTCCTTGCCTTCCTGTCTTCAAGGCAACACCAGCAATTGGTAGAAGATAACAGTTTCCTGGTGATTCTAATCAAGCCAAGAGCTAAGTAGTTGCTTGGAATATGTAACACTGACCATAAGGAAGATCAGAAATACATATTTCTTCCTTGGGTATCTTTAATTGTACAATAAGCCAACATTTTTATTCTGAGGTTTCCCATCAAAATGTTGGGAAGACCAGTATGAGTCAGCAAGAGCATGAACTGGAATAAGCATAGCACCTGCTCCCTACAAGCTAGCAATCTTGAACAAGTTAACTTAACCCCAGTCTCAATTTTCTCTGCTATGAAAACTGATACTAAAACATGTAATACTCTTTTGGAACCAAAATAAACAACACAGAAGATGCAAAATCACCTGGCCCATAGTGAACACTCAAGAATGGTTATTTTTTAAATATTGAGATTTTTTTGACATAGTTAGATATGTCAGAAAGCATAATGCAAGATTCTATTCAATTAAGCCCATGTGATGTCACTTGACACTGCATTTAAAATTATCTAAAACTGATGATATGACAGAAAAATAGCATGATGATCCTCTTAATGCTATTTCCTGGTTGGAATGGATTGTATAATGATAAACAAGTATTTTGGCTACTCAAACTGGGTGGATGGGTAGAAGGATGGAAGGATGGATATATATATGAATAGACAGATGAGTTGATATGGATGGATGGATGGATGAATAAAATAAAACCTAGGTAATAATTGTCTCTCTTCCCAGGGGTGTCATTTTGCTGAATGAAGCAACAGAATCTGGTTTTCATCTTGTAACTACCGTAACTACAAGGATGGATGGACAGATTGACGGATTTAGGGAGATGATAGATGATGTGGAACCTACTTAGTCTCATCAAAATCCTTAAAGAAGAGAGGGGAGCACATACTCAATCCCAATTTATTGCATCTTTCATTTCCGAACCAGTGACTCCAAAGGAACTAGATCAACTTCCCTAGGGCTTCCAACATGACTTTCTTCTTTGAAAAAAAGTGCTAAACCCAGCAACAAAATCCACAAACAAATAGAAAACAACAGTTTGTCTTAGGTTTTCACTGATTGAGGTTTTAGATTTTATTCCCTGTAGAAAGCATTCTGAAGTTGACATATTTAAAATTCACATGCTCAGATGTAAAAGATAGCACAGAGACACATCCCAGAAAATATCACAACTTTTCCTACAGTACTTCACAGCAGCAAAAGCTTTGGCCCTTACCTGAAGGTGGGTCCATTCTGTATTTATTCTCTTGACACCAACCAACTGGTCGAAGTCTGTAATCCAAGTAAAACAACCACTGGTCATAGGATTCAGTGTCCTCCAATCCCACATAGCGAAGGCGTAATCTTCCTCCAACATTTTCAATCACACTAACTATCCAGTACTGAAAAGGGTTCTGAGAATCCTGAAGTTCTATTAAGGAATCAACTGTAATGAGGTCTATAGGGCCTTTCCCTCGCAGAGGCTGTTTAAACAGAAGCAAAACTCCTTATTTTAAACTTTATTTTAAAGTTTTCATGGAAACAGATGACAGCAGAAGATAATATTTTTTCACACCATCATCCAAGCTATTGGCAAACAATCTGGTGTTTCCCTCCACCCCCATCCTCTGCACAGCCCTCGCCCCCCCCTTCCCTTTCCTCCTCACACACATCCATGTACCCAGTGCTGTACCCAGCAACAAAATCCACAAACAAATAGAAAACAACAGTTTGTCTTAGGTTTTCACCAAACAAATCACCCTTCACAGATAAAATTGCATTCACAAAAAATTACTGTGCTTTTAAGAAGAGTTATACGCAAATTTGCCTGGAGCTAGAAAAAAACATGGTAGCAAAATGTCTACTTTTCAAATAGACAGATGTACCTCATAGGGGTCTATAAATTTTCACCATGACTTCTCAACAGAGTTGTCTTAAAATGGCCACTACTCTTAGCAGACAAGACCCTCTCCCACTTTGCTTAGATGAGTGCAGCACCACGTGCAGAGGTGATATATCTAATTCACGTGATGGTCAGCTAAGTGCAACCATTATGTACAGTTATTTCTACATTTAACCACTTAACCTGATAATTAGTTTGGAAAATATATAATTATTGTCCCTTCTTAGCATACATTAACATATGAAAAGGGTGTTTGTTCAGTCAGCCTCACAGGCAGATACCTTTAAAAAAATTCACATAGTAAGACAATTCGCCCCTTGGAAAGGGCAAACAATCATCATTTTGATTTGTTCACCAAACAAATAAAATAGCTATTAAGATAAACAAATACATCAGGCAAAAATAGTCACAAAACAAAACCTGCTAACTGTGTAGCAGTGCTACCGGCTTTTTTTTTTTTTTTTGAGAAGGTGGAACATTAGGGTTGAAATAATAATAATGGCACTGTCAAAATCCACATTTAATTCCCAGTCATTCATTAAGTTTTCCCCCTTCCAGGGGCACTCTTAAAGCACATTTGGTAATTCAATAATTACTTATGACACAGAATCTTTCTCTTGCTGTTTCTTTATACATGATAAATATTAATGTTTCATCATAATTTTATGAAATGAACCATAAAGATTTCAGTTTAAATGTTTTCTTCAGCACCTTGAAATTACCTTAACTATATTTAAATACAGTCAGCCTTTTCTCCTTTCTTCCAATGAGGGAAGCTAACTCCATTATTTGTTAACATGGGCGTTCTCATCTTGGGGTTACGTGACTGAAGTGGAATACTGGATGGAACCACTGCTCAGTGTGCCCCAAGAGATTACACGAGAGCACACACATGCTTAGGCATCACCTATTCAACTATTCATCACTCTTGTGATTTTATTGACTTTAACTAATAAAGGAGAAAGGCTCAAACTTATAGGATAATGAGGAGGTATTCTAACATAAAAATGCATTCACATAGAGCAAATTTTCCACTCGCTGACTGTACCACAGGGTACAGATTAGTCAACACCATTCAAATCCATCACCTAAGTAATTCAGCACAAAACAGGAAGTGGGGCTATATGCATAAAGATATCTGTGTCTACGCATGGATCTGCAGAAGGATATATGCAAGGTGCCATTTGGTCTGAGCTCATGGGACTGGATGCTTCAGAGATATAAGAGATGTATAATAACAATACATACACCTTCCAGCAGGTTGGCAGGTGCTGTCCGCGAACCAGTCAAATCATGTATGAGGAATTCGGTCCAGTCTGCATACTTCTCTTTGATTGCTGGTAAGACAAGGGAGAATAAAAAACACTTGAACACATCAGTAAAATATCAAGTAAACTTAAAATCACTGTAGTTTTCTGTATGTTGGTGTTATTTTGATATTCGTTATTTTGATTTTTTTTTTCTTAATTTTAAGCACTATGCTTAAGCAAAAAGTACAACAGTTGAAATCACAGAGTCTATCAGTAAGTAGTGACCTACCTAGCACACAACTGGTCATCTAAAAGATAAAAAAAAAAACCTGAGGTGCTGAAGTCTTTCAAGCTATTTAGAAATCTTAACTGACAACAAGATTCCAAGCAGAAAGAGGCCAACAACAACTGGAGGAATTAGAGAAAATTACCATGGGAACATAAAGCCAGGCCCTGAATTATGTAAAAGGTTGATGGGGTAGGATAAAAACGGTTCTTTGGACTGAGAGGAAACAGCATATGCTAACAAGATGGATAGAAATGAAACAGAAATGGAGAAAGAAAATACAGTTACTGGACCAACCACGGCACAGTCCAAGCCTGCAGGGCTGGGAAGCCAGTGGAATTGACAGCTGAGAAGTGACACTGACATCTGAGAAGCAGGACATCTCTAGAAATACCATAAAGGTCTGAAAGGAAACAGAAGACTCTAAAAGCTGGGAAACTGAGGCTGCTGCTGTTATCTAAGTAGAAAAGTTACAGGATCCAAAAGAGGGATGACAGCCTGTGAGCAAGGAAGGACCGAATTTGAGACATCTTAAAAAAAAAAAAAAAAAAGAAAAGAAAAGAACTATCAGACCCTGGAGGCTGACATCCTATAAGTGCTTAGAACCCAAATGTACCCTCCCGATGACTCTTCCACAGTACAGGTCCCCAGAGGCTTGGGGACACCCTCAGCCTTCATAGGGCAGCAGATGGGAGAGCAACATGGTTCCCTGGATTCCTCTGACTCACACCATGATACTGAACTTCCTGGAAGGAGGACAGCGAGCCACAGGTGAGCTGCCTAGGATCCACCCAGTATTCAGCTGAGCTTCTGGTAATGGTCCAGGGCTCAAGGAGCATTAGGTATGAGGTATCCCCCAAAAGCTCGTGTGCAAAACAGTGCAAGAATATGATGCACAGGTGGGATGATTAGATTATCAAGGGTGAGATCTGATTGTGGTGTGATCCACTGATATGAATTAACTGGGAGGGGACTGTAGGCAGGCCGGGTGTGGCAGGAGGAAGTAGGTACTGGGGTTGTGCCCTTGGAGTTTTTAGTCTGTCCCAGGTGAGCAGAGGGTTGCCTTGTTGCCAGCTTCTTTCCTCCACCATGCCCTTCCACCATGATGTCCAGGCCTACAGCTATGCAGTTGGCCCACCATGGACTGAACCTCTGAAACTGTGAGCCAAAATGAACTTTTCTTCCCTGCGTTGCTCTTGTGGTGTCTTTTGGCCACAGCAACACAAAACTGACTAAAACAAGGTTTATGCGTAGCCTAGGTCCTTCAAAGGCTTGATGAAACCTCTTCTAGCTCAAACCTACAGAAAGAGAGTTATTACAGAGGGTGGGGGTGCAGAGCTGGGCTCCAAGGCAGGTTCTGCCAACACTGCATGTAGAATTTAGGGTAATTTCATTCCATTATTCTCATCAATAAATAGTGTTTATAGGCTGCTAAGAGGATTAAAGAAGAAACACACATAAACAAAATAAAACCATGCCCAGCAAACACTAAGCAATTAGTAAACATTTTATCTTGGTTTATTGTAAGTATGTATTAGATGATCACGTATTTCCACCATGTATTTATCACTCACTCCCATAATTCCCAATGGAAACCTTCCACAAGCTGAAGCAGGACTGTCATTAGAATGAGGCACAATGGCAGCACTAACATGCATCTCCATCAATATCTGCCCATCACCCAGGATGATCAGAGTCTGAGAGAGGCACCAACACAGAGGATACTCCAGCAAACAAGGATGGAAAACAGAGCTTTACGTCACACAACAGTGCCCCGCCCAGCCTCCACTTGTAAGAGCAATGGGTCCATTCATCCTTTTTTATCTCTAGGGTTTCTTTCCAAATAAAATACCACTGTCCTTATTTTAGACATACATACTGATATGGAAATACCTTTGGGGACAAAAATATCACAACTTTGTACTCTCTTCCATCAGTAGCAAATGTAGTTATCCTATTTCAATGTTATTCCCTTTTGTTTGGGGGGGGCTTTGTTGTTTTTTGAAGGGGGGCTACTAGGGATTGAACTAAGGGGTAACCACTGAGCTACATCCCCAGCCCTATTTTGTATTTTATTTAGAGACAGGGTCTCACTGTGTTGCTTAGTGCCTCACCATTGCTGAGGCTAGCCTTGAACTCGCAATCCTCCTGTCTCAGAGCTGCTGGGATTACAGGCATGGTTGGGGTTTGTTATCCCCATTTAAATCCAGCCTTCTTGCATGACTAAGATTAAAACATCAAAAGCAAATATGTACAAGATAAATTAATTAAAACTTACTTTATGCTTTACAAAGACCTTTCATTGACTTTATCTATTCTGACCCTGGTAACAAGGCTATGAGGTGGCTCTTCTTAACTAACTTGTACCCAAGTTCACAGAAAAATCTAGGGTCAGAGCCAGCCTAAAACCTCCAAGTATTTAGACCCTAATCTTACATGGAGTCTTTCCTCTAGAATTAATGACTCTCCAAAGTTTTTGCAAAAAGTTAAATCAACAAAATGTAGGTATGATGGTGATACCATGAAAACAACTGTCTACCCATAAAGTTTCAAGACTGGGGCAAAATATACAACTGTACTCGATAAATATTCATTTCACATCTCATTAGAAAAGTACAGGTCAAGCAATAAGTGGTCCTACGCAGATAGAATTTACATCTACATTCTGTATGAGAAGATCAACTCACCTCTCAAGAGTTGTTCCCATATGCACACAATTCAAGTTAACATTTAAGTTAAAAATTTCTTAATATGCAAGCAGCAAAGACACGGTGCAATGCTAAAATTTAAATTGTGAGAGTCCCAGCAAGACAGCACTGGAGATGGTCTGAAATTTATATCTTTCAAGCCCTAAGTTCCAGAGGTCCCATAACTTCCCCTTAATATGTTTCAGCATAAGACTCTGAAGCAATCTTTTATGTGCCTCGGAATATCTAGACAAATTGCTCTCCATGGAAAATGTATCTATAAAGCTATAAAAATACACGGACCGTTTTAGGTTAAAAAATAAAGATGAAACAATCCTCAGAAATTTTGCTAATGTTGAAAGAAAACCTGCTTCAGTCAATTTTAGTTCTCAGAGCTCAATTTTCAAACATACAACAAACCTACTAAAATAAATATTATCCTAAAATGAAAACTAACAAAGTTCTATTCACTTACATAAGTAAAACTCTGTTTTATTTCACAAATACTCACAACACATGAAAGAAACAATCATGACCTTGAAGTTGAGAAAAAAGAAAACACATACATACACTTTTTGTGAGGATATTTGGAGATGGCTCCAAATTTCAAGACAACTTCATTTGGATTGGAAAGCTATATATACAGCCTTAAGGTTACTATCATTTTTCAGAACCTGAAAAAACATCACTAAGGTTGGACATCACCCCATCAAGCTAATGTCAACAGAGAGTCCAGTGATGTGTCACCTCTCAGTGATGTCCTCTTCTGCAGAGACTGTCTCATGGGTACGATGCCCATTCAAGCAGACCATGAACATGAGACCTGTGGGGGGTCAGGTGGACCCACATCAGCCCAGGCTCCTCAACGCCATGCCCCAGTGAAACAGAGAAGCCCATCACAAACGTGCCTTTGTACTTATTCTGAAGACAGGGAGGAGAGTGACAATGAAGAGCAAGGCTACTTTCACTGGAACACACTTCAGGCAACAGGGAAGGGGCTGCAGTCCACCCATCTTCTGGAGTTTAGACCCACAGGATTTTTCTTTTTGCTCTTCTCTCCAGGAAAGGTTCTCAACCTGCTGACTACAGGCATCCCATGAAACTGGGTGATTTTCAGCCCATCTGGGACTGGGGCTTCCCACTTCCTGCTATTCAAAGTCACAAGCTTCAAGAGATCCCAAAGTGTCCTCTAAGCTGCAGCTCCCAAATCCGACTGGGTGGCAACTGTCCTCCACCCCCACCAATACCTTTATAGTCACCAAGTCCTCATTAGCTTTCAAGCTGCCAGAAATACTGAAATTTCTGTTCTATGCTGGTCCCCCTTTGACTCTGTGGGTTGCTGGTCTTTGCATTTTTCATTCCTTTACTCTCATGAGGAAAAGGAGATAAATAAAAGTGCGAAGTTCATGGAGACTTCTGGTTTACAAGAGAACTGGACCCTACAAAGAGATGTCGGGCAGCAGCCTTTGGCTTGTCAGAAAAAGACTTTTTAACACTGACCCAGCTAAAGAAAGAGGAGGCAATGGTAGATCCTGAATTATAAATGGAAGCACTTCCTCCTACTATGAAGAAGGCTTCAGACTTCCTATGGAGACTTTTAAAGAAGAATATGTATTAATTTTTCATATTGTGCTAAAATTAAATTGTTCCTACAAACAGAATAAAAGGCCATACAATTATTTGATAGGATTGATAAGTTCCTATTATGTGCAATGAACATTGTGTATGTTGGTGTTTAATATACTACAAGTATTCCTATCTTTAATAATAAGTGTAAGTCAGAAAAAGATACAATTCCTTAGAACTTAACATACATAGATTGTTGAAAGAAAAGTTTCAAATCGATGTGTTAAGACTCATTCAGTTTTATAAACACAGTTATATGATTACAAAAAGGAATAGTAGCATTTAGTTCTAAAAAATTTGAATTTAACAAAGAATCTGAGAATTGTTGGAAGCAAGAAATAAATCTCATAGTGATAACCCTGTGGTGAAAGAGGAAAAATAAATGGTATAAAGGTCTCAGAATAATTGCACAATTTGAATATTAATATTTATGCCATAATCATTAAAATTTTGATCCATATTTACACAGACCCTTAAAAAAAAGTTTT